TAGGCTAGGGGTTAGGGTTATCTTTAGGAGTTAGGTTAAAAGGTTAGGGTTAGCTCAGCGTTTCCCAAACTCGGTTCTCGTCCATGACGAGATTTGAAATCACAACCTTTGGGTTGCTAGACATTCACGATATACTTCCACCCAGCCAGTTTACTGTTAAGTAACCCTCTACACACTAAGCCGGGGGAGGGAGGTTCTACTAAACTATAAGGAATTGTTTGATTGAATTTTCAGACCCCTTGAAGTATCAAATAAATATATAAAACAATTATTTGCTGAACATTTTTATTTGGCCTCACTGCTATTAGCCCACACAAACACATTGAATAACAGATTCACTACATGGAAAAACACAGTCCATTGCTCAAAATAAGTCGTTCCCAAGTGAGGGAGATCTCAAGGAGAATAACCTGCCAACATTCATAAGCTTGTTCAGTACATGAGGACAAATTTAGTCATGACAGCCACTGTTTTTTTTAATACAAAGGACAGAAGTTTACAGGTTTTTGTTCCTGGCCTTCACTAACACTCTTTTCAGTTTGCTGAAGCTAGCGACTGGAACGAGCTGTAAATAACACTCAAACTGGACAGTTTTATCTCCATCTCTTCATTCAAAGACTCAATCATGGACACTCTTACTGCCAGTTGTGGCTGCTTTGCGTGATGTATTGTTGTCTCTACCTTCTTGCCCTTTGTGCTGTTGTCTGTTGCCCAATAATATTTGCACCGTGTTTTGTGCTGCTGCCATGTTGTGCTGCTGCCATGTTGTTGTCATGTGGTGTTGCTACCATGCTGTGTTGTCATGTGTTGCTGCCATGCTATGTTGTTGTCTTAGGTCTCTCTTTATGTAGTGTTGTGGTGTCTCTCTTGTTGTGATGTGTGTTTTGTCCTATATTTTTATTTTTAATCCCAGCCCCCCCAGGAGGCCTTTTGCCTTTTGGTAGGCCGTCATTGTAAATAAGAATTTGTTCTTAACTGACTTGCCTAGTTAAATAAAGGTTAAATCAAAATAAATCAATGAAAACACCTCATTCAACTAATTGTGGTCTAAATTGAAGACTTGCACACAGTGGGACAGAAATCACGTCTGTATTTTAGAATGAGCTTCATAAGAAACAATGTCCTGTGTGAAAGGGAGGGAGCAGTACTGCTAGTCCACTGGAGAGGAGTGACATAGAGATGGTGGGGGGGGGGGTTGCGCAACAGCATACAGGGCACAGACTGTACATTACCATTGAGAGGGAGGGAGGGAGGGAGGGAGGGAGGGAGGGAGGGAGGGAGGGAGGGAGGGAGGGAGGGAGGGATGAATCAGTGAAACTGCCAGAGAGAGGGAAGGGAAAATAACAGTAAGAAGTGTGATATAAAAAAAAAAGAGTTCAGTTTATCTTAGTGAAAGACGGATCTATACACCGGTTGACCCAATATATGTAAATATTATGGAAGATTTCAATATATGGAAATATTATGGAAGGTTTCAATATATGTAAATATTATGTAAGGTTTCAATATATGTACATATTATGTAAGGTTTCAATATATGTAAATATTATGTAAGGTTTCAATATATGTACATATTATGTAAGGTTTCAATATATGTAAATATTATGTAAGGTTTCAATATATGTAAATATTATGTAAGGTTTCAATATATGTAAATATTATGTAAGGTTTCAATATATGTAAATATTATGTAAGGTTTCAATATATGTAAATATTATGTAAGGTTTCAATGTATGTAAATATTATGTAAGGTTTCAATATATGTAAATATTATGTAAGGTTTCAATGTATGTAAATATTATGTAAGGTTTCAATATATGTAAATATTATGTAAGGTTTCAATGTATGTAAATATTATGTAAGGTTTCAATATATGTAAATATTATGTAAGGTTTCAATATATGTAAATATTATGTAAGGTTTCAATATATGTAAATATTATGTAAGGTTTCAATATATGTAAATATTATGTAAGGTTTCAATATATGTAAATATTATGTAAGGTTTCAATATATGTAAATATTATGTAAGGTTTCAATATATGTAAATCTCAATCAAGATTCAGTCCTTCCAGGCATTCACTAAATTTCAAAACCATTCAGTGAGGCTGTCTTTGGGGAAAGTTCACGGTGAGTGTAGTCGGCCCAACACCTTGCTGCAGACATGGAGATGAAGCCAAGGGAAGAATTTGAACCCATGATTTCTTATGGATTCCTGCCACAATGGTTATTTGTTGGTATTGTGTCACCAAGCTGTTGTCTTTGATACCTCCCACTGGAGAACAAATAACAGACAGGAATGACAGAACTACAAGTCACCACGGGGTACAAGGCAGCCAAGTATATTTGCACTAGTCATACCGTAACACCAAGCTAGTGAGCTACTGTATTAAGAAACAGAACACTGATAGTACAGGTGACATTTCTAAATGTGGTTGACCCTGTTAAAATTATATTTTAAGTAATTTATTATACTTTAACTACGCCATCCCTTAGATGGAAGGAAGGGGATTGGTGTTTTGCTGACTGTGTCCCGCGTTGCAGTGTTTGGTGGTACCCATGGCAACGAGCTGTCAGGAGTGTACCTGGTGAGAGAGAAGAAGGTGGAGGAGGACGGCCACGTCTCTGTGATGTCCAACCCGCGCGCCGTTCAGCAGTGTCAGAGATACATGGAGACAGATCTGAACCGCTGTTTCACCCTCAGGTCTGACGACCCTCAGGTCTGACGCTTGGGGGCCCACGAACAAAAAAAACAACAATAATATACAGTATCAGTCAAAAGTTTGCACACACCTACTCATTCAAGGGTTTTTCTTAAATTTTTACTATTTTCTACATTGTAGAATAATAGTGAAGACATCAAAACTATGAAATAACATAGTAGCCACCGTTTGCCTTGATGACAGCTTTGCACACTCTTGGCATTCTCTCAACCAGCTTCATGAGGAATGCTTTTCCAACAGTCTTGAAGGAGTCTGAACACTTTCTGAATGCACTGTTTCTAAACTTGTAGTTCCCGAGTGGCGCAGTGGTCTAAGGCACTGCATCTCAGTGCTTGAGGCGTCACTACAGACCCCCTGGTTCGATTCCAGGCTGTATCACAACCGGCCGTGATTGGGAGTCCCGTAGGGCGGTGCACAATTGGCCCAGCGTCGTCCGGGTTTGGCCGGTGTAGGCCGACATTGTAAATAAGAATGTTCTTAACTGACTTGCCTAGTTAAATAAAGGTAAAATAAAATAAATGAAAAATCATGGCTGAAAAACGACCGGCTCGCAGGGCACGTGCCGAAGGGCCCTGACCTCCAGGGGGCCCCCATTGATTGTATTAGTCATTCTCGCTCAGATATCAAAATAACATGGCATAAGTCATGGGAAAATATGTAGAATTGCTGGAAATTAGCTACAAAACGGCAAATTGTTTCTCCGACCCCATGGTAGAATTGCAAGAAATGAACTTCAAAACGTACATTTTTTCTCTCCCCCGTCAAGAGCTGGGCCACTAAAATGTTTTGCCCAGCTCTTGGCCCTGATACATCCTTCTTCTTCTCTCTCTCTCTCTCCCTCTTAGTGGCCCTGTGACAGACAAAAACCCCTATGGGATAGTGCGGTCCCAGGAGCTGAACTCTAGGTCCTAAATGCAGTCCAGAGGCCACGGACCTGGTGTGTGACCTCCACAACACCACCGCTAACCTGGGCCTGTCCCGCATCGCCAACTCGGACTGCGACTAGAGCTCTCTTCACATCTAGAGATACCAGGCAAGAGCAAACGATCCTAACAGATACTCAAAGAGGAGATGGGGGTCAAATCGTTTTTTTTTTTGGATGCATTTTCTCATTAGAGTAGATGTACGCTGATTGAAAAGACGGGATAGTTCCTATCCTATTCTAAAAGATCAATATGGATGAAGGTAAGGTGACGACGGATAGTACAACTTTTGAGATTTTAAGTTAATTCAGTAACTCAGTAGGGTAGAACATGAGGTTAGCCTTAACTCTGCTTCCAACAATTTGGATAGTAGCCTTCACTGTGCTTAGAAGAGCTGGAAACGTAAGCATTCCGCTGCGCTTGCGATAACATCTGCGAAAGGTGTTTACGCGACCAATCAAATTTGATTTGATTTGACATGGAACCTTCTTAGCCAGTTTTTTAACAGCGCTTGATTGATTTAGTTTATTTTGACAATTAGACAAATACATATACAGCCAATACATACATTTAAAAAAAACGATCAAAGACAGAACAATAAAGTCAGTGACTTATTTCCATTGTGGTCCTTTTGGTAAGATTAAGGCGAGAATTGTAAAACTTATGATGCAATACATGCTATATGGGTATTGAAATCATATTATATCATACGTATATTTGAAATGCCATTCATGTAAATGTATTTTTCCCCCTGCAGCGATTGAGATTGGTCCTCAGGCCCATGGTCAGGTCCAATATGTTATCCGCAATGCAAGAAGGGGTCCAGCACATACTAGAATGGGTCCGCCTCTTTAACTCAGGTACCTGGCTTACAACTGACGGAACTCATTAAATTCAGCACTGCTAACAAATTTAAATAGTTCACTGTCCCACATGCTTGTATTGTATACCCCTCATTCAGATTTATTTCACGCTTTCTCTTCCCCTCTCTCTCTCTCCTCCTCTCCCTGTCTCTCTTTCACAGGCAGACAGTTTGAAGGAGGAAAAGTGGAAGTGTACACCATGGTGAAAAATGTTCACTACCCAAGAGACACTGAGACCCACGGCAATACAGCCGCCATCCATCCTCAACTCCAGATATGCAATCATTACAGCCGCCATCCATCCTCAACTCCAGGTATACAATCATTACAGCCGCCATCCATCCATCCTCAACTCCAGGTATACAATGCCCTTGAAACTTAAACTTGACATGGACTTAGTATGGGACGCACTATAGTTTCCTTCTAAGCAAGGGCCTGCTGGTTGTAGAGCTAGCTATCATTGTCCCAAGTGGTTTTATAATATTATATGGTCATGTGTAACAGCAAAACAATCTCTGGGTCAGGATCTGGTATAGCCACACTTTAACTCCTCTCTCTCAGGATCGGGACTTCTGCCTCCTCCTCACCCCTACGATCCTTTGTTCCACACTTCCTCATCATCATCATGATTCATCATCATCATCATCATCATCTTCATCAGACACTAAAGTACCAAGGGACTGAGCCTCTCTATCCATTCTTCATGAATGAATGTGCGTACTATGAGAAGGGCGTAGCTCTCTCCCTGGCAAGACAGAGAGGTGCGGGACCATCCCATCCGGTTGGAGAGAGAAAGAGAACAGGGAAAGAGGAAAAAGTTCAGCAGAAGAAATGGAGGAGGAAGAGGAGATGGAGGACGAAGGCTATCAGAAGCTAATGGAATATGGAGAGGAGAGTTACTAACTACATGGACAATACACAAGAGAGCAGATTTCAAGTTCTTGATATGAACGGTGGATTCAAAACACACCTTCGGGAATAAGGTTGTCATGTCAAGTGAGACGCGTTGATCAAATTTTATGAACTTTAAATAATAATAATAAAATCCTTTATTGAAATGACAGCATTTGCACACACACACACACTACTACTATGTATGACATTATTAGCTCTCAATTCCAACATTTTCCACACTTCGCTACTCCAGGATATAATAATAATAATAATAAATAATACGCCATTTAGCAGACGCTTTTATCCAAAGCGACTTACAGTCATGCGTGCATAAATTTTTTTTTGTGTATGGGTGGTCCCGGGGATCGAACCCACTACCTTGGCGTTACAAGCGCCGTGCTCTATCCAGCTGAGCTACAGAGGACCTCATCTCTTGGGAGAATAGTAAAATACATTCACAATAGATTTACTGAAGCACATACATACCATACCATATCATACCATATCATACCATTTGCCATATGAACTACATTTTAGGCAGGAAAGACGGTAGGTTTGATTTGCATTTGCCAGTCAGAAAATATGGTTAGAACAATCTGTTTTAAAATATTGAAAAAAAAAAAAATCTACAGCATTTTGAAAAAGCTTAACTCTTATCAGCTACTTTAAGTCTACATTCTTTCATAAGTCTTACCTGTCATAACATTTTCCTGAAACGTTGACTGCTGTCATGTCAGGTATAAGAAGACATGCAGACCTTACGACACACTATTTAAATGAACACGTCTCCAAGTACTCTATTCTTCTTGACGGTAAAGGGATGATCAAGGTATTCGTCAGCCATTAATCTTCACTTGCAAACAGTTAATTGTACACTTCCACCGCTTATCGATTAACTAGCGTAAATTCAGATTATATATCCAGGCCTACAAATAAGAGCATTCATTGCAAAACACTTTAAAATATGATCCGAAAAATAACTACTATTTAAAAGAAAACGATCATTAACGTTTTTCATACGACCACATTAAATACATTCTTGATACTCAATATAATAAATTAGTATTAACAGTTCACAGTTTTAATCTTTGATCTTATTAATGCAAGCCTATGTCATAGAAGTGGCATTTATAGGTGATATTAAACATGAATAAATTAAGTAAACCAAAAAGACAAATAGCAAAAAGTAACACTATGTATATGCAACAAATAAATCAAAGTAACCACATCTAAAGTCAATAGTTAGCAATAGTCTACAATGGAATGGAACGCCATGTTTATAAAACCAAAACAGAAACTACATAACAAAGTGACATTGTCCACTATTAACCTAGTTGTAATGTGGGGGGTAATACATTCCTACATTTCTAAAGTATTTCTGCAGAATCTTACAAATCAATCAAAATATAAAAATAATATTCCTGATAAAAGTAAAAACAAAAACCTCATGAAGTCAACAAATTACATACAAAATATCCAACCACTTCAACCTATACGTTACTCTCTAGATTGTCACTCAAAAGGAAATATTTGTAGCTTATATTTTTCCACGTGTCCTAGATTATGTCCAGGTTTTCTAAGGTCGAAATATAATTTGAATTACTCAAATGTTTGCACTAAACTTAAAATCGCCATCAACATATTTCTTTCAGAAAGGTTGGATTTTCCAAACACGGGCCTATAGTATTTCTTGCTAGTGCATATGAGAGTCGAATGAAGGCAGCTCTCACCTGACCGTTACGGTTTGTTAAGTCTCTTATAAACAATCATATGCTTGGTCTAACCAAATGGTACATTGTGTTCTGGACCACTCTGTTGCCCAATTTCAACTCAACCCCTCACCCCTACACTAGGCACTTTTATAGATCTGAAATGATTGGATAGGTGTTAGCAATAGCGTGTAAAAATCCCAGTAGCCAGTAGCAAAGATTAGCATTTTCTATATACCTATTCAGTTCTTTCAAGATCAACAAGTGTCATGTGGTTGGAGTTATGGTTTTGATTTGGAAATGGGCCTCTATGCTACCCTGTAGGCAGTCATGCGGTAGTAGTTCTGACTGTGACTTCGCGCCGCCCACACCAGGAGAGCGGCGGCCATCATGTGCAGCGGGGAGGAGATGAGGGCCAGGTAGAGGGACCAGCCCAGGGAGCCATCCACCTTGCCTGGCAGAACAGAGACTCTGTGGAGGAGATCCATCCCTGCCAGGTAACAGCACACTGTGGCTAGAGTACACAGGCCTGCAGGGAGAGCAGGTGGAAGAGAGAGAGAGGAGGGGGGGGGGGAATCAAGGATTACTTTTTCGTTCAACTACTGTTGTGTCGGTGGTGAGTCTTAAAACATGTTCTCAAGGATAGCTGCACTCAAAGCTTGATGATGAGTTGGTTATTTGAATCAGCTGTGTAGTGCTAAGGCAAAAAAAAAAAAAAAAAAACGTGCACCCCTTTCGGGGTCCCCAGGACCAAGTTTGGGAAACACTGGACTAGTGTATGTGACATAGAAGTGCAAAGTAGTTGCCAATAGCCATGATGCCATGAACACTGAACGGCCCTTCTGGAAACAACGAAGAAAGGCTATACAACTCAGAATAGAGTGATGAGAACAACACAACGTTGAATAAAATCCCTCACCAGCCAGTAGGTGGAGCATTCCTATGCCCAGGGTGGGGGTGAGACTGTGGCAGAGGCAGGCACAGAACCCTATCAAGCCTGCCAGCACCACAAGTCCTAAGGAGATTAATGGCAGCAGGAACTGGCACCTCCACAGGTCTGCACACAGATAGGGATCCACGTTTAAACTTAATAGGCAAGCAGTAAAAAAAAAAAAAAACTCTCGCCACAACATTTCAGATAGAAAAAGCAAGAGCATCCGAGTGCATACAACGATACTGCGTCTATTATTGAAGATCACAGATGCCAGGTATACGTTTCTCACGCATTGCATAACGCATATCACACAATGTGGGCATAAGACATTAATTACTGAAGTATAGGCATAAGACAGGGTGATCCAACTCCGGTCCTGGAGAGCTACTGGGTGAATCAATGTGTGTTCGTACTGGATTGGAACAAAAGCCTGGACACCCCAATTGTTTTTTTTCCCCAGGACTGGAGTTAGTGACCCCTGGCATAAGGCATTGAGCATGCATAGCATATCACAGAAGCTGGGCATGGTTAACAGATCAATACATTGCAATTTGCAAGATAAATGAATAGAGGCTTACAGGTCCGCAGCATGTCCTCTCCACTGTTGTGGTTCCCTGGCTCTTTGTACTTCGGAGTAAACTGCTGTGGCAACGTGAAGCTAACACACGTCTTTGGATCTGAAACAAGGAGAAATTAAAAAAAAAACAAAAAAAAAACATAAATCATGCCCCGACAAAAACCATGGATTCGATCCACAAATTACTTAGAGGAAATCCGTGTTGCATGAGTTTATGGGAGGGGGTAGGTTAAATCAGACCTGACTCCTTGTACCAGTGGGTATGAGATGGCACCAGAACGCAGCGCCACCAGAGGCCCGTGGTCCCGTTGAGACGGAAGAGCGTGTCGCTGTAGGTCTTCTCATCGAATTCCCCGTCCATGAATTCCTCATACAGTGACCGCAGTTCGGATACGTTGGCCTCGCCTCGCACCGGTGGACTGGTGTACTGGTACCAGTGCTGCGTTCCAATCGCTACAGACAGGTACACAGTAGCCAGCAAGCTGAGCACACAGCTGATGACCAAAGCCGTGGCGTAACGGTTGTCAACCATTGTTTGCCAACTGAGAGACGCGTCAAATGGGAGATTATAGCAAAAGGCTTCGCCTCTTCCTCTCCGATTATAGCTACCCGTGGCGATGGCCCAGTCACTGCGTGTAATGCAATCCCCGAACCAAAGCAGAGTAGGCTCAAGCAACGGTTCAGCGGCAGTAGGAAATCCTGCGATGGAATATTATCCAATCCACTCAGAAATGTTCTTTATGGCAAAGATGTAGACTACATACAACACGCCTTTACTAGCTGCCTCGTTCGTGTCCGACACTGTTTCAACACTGTAGGTGTCCCTGTCGCGGGCAGCCTAGACGCGCCATCTGCTCGCTTGTCCCACTTCTTAAAAATCACTGCCGCATATGGTGGGTGGGTGGGTGGCCTGACGATGCGACAGATTGTTTGGCCACCCCGCCTGTTCTACAAGCCCAAAACAACCACATGTTATATTGCACTAAATTAGTAGTAGCAAATAATACTTTGGTCATTATTTCCTCTTTCCGGCATAGCCTACACTTGTTTCATGAGGAACAGCACCTGCGAACTTAAGCTTGTTAAGAAAGATTGCAAACACGTAAATCCATGCGTTTTTCCTTTTCCGGAAGGCGGCAGTGGAATGCTGGGTATTATAGTTTTTACCAATAGCTCGAAGATAGTGTTTGGAGTAGTGAGGCTAACGAAGCCGACTGTAGACGCCTCTCAATCAGAGAGGTGCGGGGGGGCTGCCTTAATCGAAGTCCACGTCATCGGCGCCCAACCCGCCCCGTTTGCATGTTGTGTAAATTATTTTAATTAAAGTTTAAACCATACATTTTGAGGCATAGACCTTCAATTCTCTTCTTGAAATAGGCTAATAATCTCAATTATTGAAATAAATAGAATAGCCTAATCCTATAGAGAAGGCAGGCTACAATACACATCAATATATGGAAATACGCAATAGAAAATGGGATATGAACTGAAGATAACTATTTTACCTTAACCAAAATATGACAAAATAAATAAAAACGTTTTTTTGTTTAGGAACTGATCAAGGTTGGTATTGAATGACTTGCATGCTGATTTCGCAGAGTGGGGTTTGAGCTTTAGGCCTGACGCCAGCAGTTGGTAGACTACTGGTCCTTTAGTGGCTGTGTGACGTGTCACTCATGACACAACCGATCGTTATAATAGCACCACTACCTTCTTGGTGAACCACTTTACATTCTTGAAGATGAACAACGATGCACAATGTAGGCAATTTAATTTAAAATGAAGTTACTGTCCCAGCCACTTGGTGCCAGATGGACACCAGGTTGATAGCACTTGAACATTCCTTGAATTCTTGTCATTAATTAAGAGGAATGGCACTACACTTTAGGTAACTCTTCTCCGAGATAAGGACATCTGATTGGTTTTGTTAGTGATGAGCCCTGTTGAAAACTTGCATATTCAAAGCACTGTTCAAATTCAAATAAAACCCTATATAAGAGAAATTGCAATGTTATTTATGCAATACAATACACTATAAAATCGAATATCCTATCAGTATAATTTTACATTGACTGCCCTCAATGAATACAAATACTATTCTCTGCCAAATAATAGGTTTTGGTATTGAACGCAAGATACACTTGCATCCATGTGATGAGTGTGATAGAAGGAGTCAGGAGCAGGAGGGTTATCACCGAAATATGAGTTTATTCCGTCGTACACAAATAGCGCTGGATAGCGACACACGAAAACAGGCACAGGGGGGAACTATCTACCCCCGCCAATACACGGTACGGGATACTCCAACAATATACAGGCACAGGGGCAATATCTACCCCGGCAACACAAAGTGCGAGTAGCTCCACTACTCTCACAAATAACAATCACCCACAAGGGCAAGGGGGGCAGAGGGAACACTTATACACAGACTAATGAGGGGATAAGAACCAGGTGTGTGTAATTAACAAGACAATCCAAATGGAATGATGATATATGGAGCGGCAGTGGTTGGTAAGCCGGTGACGACGAACGCCGAAGCCTGCCCGAACAAGGAGGGGAGGCAGCCTCGGCGGAAGTCGTGACACCAATAATATAATAATATGCCATTTAGCAGACGCTTTTATCCAAAGCGACTTACAGTCATGCGTGCATACATTTTTCTTTTGTGTGTGTATGCAATCCAATATCAGGCAAGTTTACCACTGTTCCAGTGGTTTTAAACTTCTTAATTTTTGCCCTAATAGTGGTAAGTGGTATATATATTTTTTGTTGCTATTTTATTGTACCCATTGTCTGATTTATGAAGGTCAACAACCATTTGTCTCTTTTCATTTGTGAGTTCTTTACATTCTCCCATGGTGATGGGTGACAACGGGATTTGACGTGTTACCTCATTTTATACCCCAGTGAAACAGGAAGCCATGTAACATCACAATACAGTTCCTTAAACTGAGATAAAAAATAAAAAAAAGTGTTCATGCAGATTGAATTTTGTTTGACTTTATTTATAAGACTCTTTGGATGTTCCAATAATTTTGACAGCTGTCTTTTTGAGAGAAGAAAAACTTGTTTAACAAAATCTCTTTCTCTCAGCAATTGTATTAGTATAAAATAATAATGAAAAAATTATGCTTAGTATTTGTATAATTTATTTTATACAGCCTTTTTTTTCTCATCTTTATACTATTTTGCGAACCTCTAAAGAATACAAAATACATTTTTGTGTGAACATTCTTGCAACATCATAGGAATGTTTTCTTCACCCCTGATACAAACCAAGGGTTGGAAGTGGTTCAGGGAACAGAACCAAAAACTGGAAATTAACGAAATTATTTGAGGAACAGAACCAGAATTGAAAACGAAAGTGATCTATACTGTTCTGGAACAGAACCGTTATTTTTAAAAAGCATGGGAACTGGTTAATAATATTATTATACGTTCCAGGCGTTTTTTTTTTCCCAGTCCCACAGAAATCGCATCAAAGGGCCAATGCAAAGCCCTCACTCTGTCACTCAGAAACTTATTCCAGCATCTGCCTGCCAGCTGGAAATCTTTGCCAGTGGGTGTGCGTGTGTAGGCCACCTGCCCCTCCCCTCTGAAGCATAGGTTACTGTTGCCTAGGTTACTGTAGCCTACTGATGACGTTACAAGCATAATTCAGAAATTAGGGAGAGACGTTTAATTAGAGAAGAATGGATTTACTTTTTCAATGCTGGTTAAGGATACTATAGTTATCAAGTTTCAAATTGGATTTATTTACTACAACAAGGTTGGGGTTTTTAATTCTAGTGCTGCTCTGTACACACAAGCTTGTGAGCTAGCTAGCTAGCCAACCAGGGTTGGGGTCAATTCGTTTTTTTTTTTGAATGTACTTCATTTAAACTCATTCATTAAAACGCCATTTAGAATTGGACACAGCAGAATTTGAACTGAATGTGAATTGAAGGAGGTATCATTGAATTCCATGCAATTCAAAGGAATTCAACATAAAACACTTATCACTGCAAACAATGCAGATGGTATTTAGCTTGATTATAATTCAAATATGTCTAACATTGTTTATGTTATACATAGCATTGCTAACCACGACCCAAACATCATAACTATTCTTGGGCCAAATTCACCTGGAATCCCCAAGACCAAACTCTAGCGCCCTCTTGACCATTTAAGTCAAACAGGCCAGAAATGCAGGTACCTATCAGAGGCTTATCTCTGTGGTGTTTTTCGGTCTGTTTATGTCACGCCCTGGCTCTAGGGACTCTTTTAAGTTGAGCCAGGGTGTGTAGAGTTTATGTTTTGTGCTCGTTGTGTCTAGTCTAGTTTTGTATATCTATGTTGGCCAGAGTGGTTCTCAATCAGAGGCAACGAGTATCAGCTGTTGCTGGTTGTCTCTGATTGGGAACCATATTTAGTCAGGTGGTTTTCCCACAGTGTTTGTGGGATCTTGTTCCGTGTTGGTTTGTGGTTTGCACCTGCGGACGTCACGTATCGATTTGTTGTTTTGTTCGTGTATCATTTAATAAATAAGTATGTTCACCTTCCACGCTGCGCCTTGGTCCTCTATTTCCAAGGATCGTGACAGTTTATTTTCCATATAAACTGTTAGCCATGCACGCTTAACATAGCTGATAACATATCTTAACATAGATGATAACATATCTTAACATAGCTGATAACATATCTTATCATCTCTCATAAGAGCTTAACAGTATGCACACTCATTCTCAGTGTTTCGATAAAGTTTTGGTTCCTTTAGGCTTTGGTTACAATGACATTTATAAAGTTCTGTCCTTTAGGCTTTGGTTACAATGACATTTATAAAGTTCTGTCCTTTAGGCTTGGGTTACAATGACATTTCAGTATAAACCCGTGGAGGGCTGTGGAGTTTAGGCTTGGGTTACAATGACATTTCAGTATAAACCCGTGGAGGGCTGTGGAGTTTAGGCTTGGGTTACAATGACATTTCAGTATAAACCCGTGGAGGGCTGTGGAGTTTAGGCTTGGGTTACAATGACATTTCAGTATAAACCCGTGGAGGGCTGTGGAGTTTAGGCTTGGGTTACAATCAATGTTCCCTCTAAACTGTGCGCGTGAATGAGCGCGAAGTAGCCCTGATACTGCCAAGCAGCTTCCCTGGGACTTCTGCACAGAATAAATATCAGCCCACAGAGAGAAGCACGAGATTGAACTACACTCAACTTTCTAGAGCAGTGGTCACCAACCGGTTGATCGCGATCGACTCGTCGATCTCCAAGGCATTTCTAAGCGATCGCCAAACATTTCTGTAAAAACCCAAACATTGTGTTCCTATTTTTTTCTTCTTCTATTGGTCTCGGGCTGTTGGTGGTAGGTGCAGCCGATTCAGCTGCCCTGCGAGATGGATAGGCCAACTGTTGCCATTTTCAACCATTTCACGTGTCTGCCTTCCCGGCGGGCCCGGAGAACAAATCAAGTCCACTATGTGCCTACCGCTGGCCAATAGGATGGCTCAGATGACGTGTCCGCAGTAACGTAACAGGCATAAAAGAAAGC